TAAAAAAAAAAAAAAAAAAAAAGAAATTGCAGAATGGAGCTGGGAGCAGGGGGCCGAGTTATGAAATGCTGGATGGCTCTCTTTTTAGGCTCAGATTTTTTATTTTTATTTTTTTAATTTTTTTATTTTTAGGCTCAGATTTTAAGAGGGCAAGAGGAGTGTGTGCGTGGCTGAAAATTGCTCTAGCTACAAGAAAGAGACTGAGCTGAAGCCAGGTCCCTGCATGAATCACCAGATTCCACATTAAGAATTTTCCAGGCTGGAGGCAGTGGCTCACACCTGTAATCCCAGCACCCTGGGAGGCTGAGGTGGGCAGATCACAAGGTCAGGAGTTCAAGACCATCCTAACCAATTCGGTGAAACCCCCATCTCTACTAAAAATACAAAAATTGGCTGGGTGTGGTAGCCAACGCCTGTAATCCCAGCTACTCAGGAGGCTGAGGTAGGAGAACCGCTTGAACCTGGGAGGTTGCAGTGAGCTGAGATTATATCACTGCACTCCAGCCTGGGTAACAGAGTGAGACTCCATCCTAAAAAACACAAAAAAGGATTTTCCTTGGCCAGACATGGTGGCTCACACCTGTAATCCCAGCACTTCAGGAGGCCGAGGATCATTTGAATTCAGGAATTCAAAATCAGCCTGGTCAACATGGTGAAACCTCATCTCTACTAAAAATATAAAAATTGGCCAGGTGTAGTGACGGGCACTGTAATCCCAGCTACTGGGGAGGCTGAGGCAGGATAATCACTTGAACCGGGAGGCAGAAGTTACAGTGAGCCAAGATCACACCACTGCACTCCAGCCTGAGTGACAGAGCAAGACTCTGCCTCAATAAATTAATAAATAAATAAATTAAAAGGATTTTCCTGAGTCCACGAAGCAGTTCAGCCTGCACAAGGGCCCCCATACTCCCGGGGACAGCCCGGGGCGCACCTCGGCCAGCACGTCCGTGTACTCATTCGCTTCACCTTCTTCGTCTTTCACAAAATCGTAGGTCACGTAATAGCTGTAAGTGATGAAAGGGCCTTCGGGCCCTGGTTCCGGGTCCAAGAGAGAGGTGTCCAGAAGTCCCCTGACGTTTCCAATGGTCACCACAAACTGTGCTTCCTGTGCCAAGAGATCTGCAGAGAGGAATGGGCAGGACAGAGGGGCCCGTGGAATATAAGTGGGCAGACAGAAAACGAGAGGGCCGGGAAGGTACGGGTCCCCGGATTCTCTCCACCACTCAGGGCTGAGCCTTAGTGGGGCAGTCAGGTTCACGTGCCACTCTGGCAAGCTGACTTGGAGTGATTTGGGTGTCATCACACCCCTCTTTGGCCTTGGTTTCCTGATCTGTGTATGGCAGTGATGAGGGCTGCTCTGCAGGTCACCTTAGCGTTCTCTAGCATGTCACTATGACCTGGAGAAGCCTCCGGTGCACCTTGTGGCATGGGCCACAAGGGGGCGATCTCAAGCCAGCAGGGAGATGAAGAAGCTAATTGAAATAACCGTCCCAACTCCCTATATGTTACTTTATTTTATTATTTTATTTTAAGATGGAGTTTCGCTCTTGTTGCCCAGGGTGGAGTGCAAGTGGCGCGATCTCGGCTCACTACAACCTCCACCTCCCAGGTTCAAGTGATTCTCCTGCCTCAGCCTCCGGAGTAGCTCAGATTACAGGCACACACCACCATACCTGGCTAATTTTGTATTTTTAATAGAGATGGGGTTTCTCCATGTTGGTCAGGCTGGTTTTGAACTCCCGACCTCAGGTGATCTGCCCTCCTCGGCCTCCCAATGTGCTGAGATTACAGGTGTGAGCCACCGTACCCGGCTTTTTTTTTTTTTTTTTTAAGAGACAGGGCCTTGTTCTGTGGCCAGGGAGGAGTGCAGTGGTGAGATGATAGCTCACTGCAGCCTCCGCCTCTCAGCTCAAGTGATCTGCCCCCACCACTTTTTTTTTTGAGACAGAGTCTCATTCTGCCACCCAGGCTGGAGTGCAGTGGCATTATCTCAGCTCATTGCAGCCTTCACCTCCTGAGTTCAAGAGATTCTCATGCCTCAGCCTCCCAAGTAGCTGGGATTGCAGGTACCCGCCACCATACCCGGCTAATTTTTGTATTTTTAGTAGAGACGAGATACTTGTTGGCCAGGCTAGTGCTGAACTCCTGACTTCAAAGGATCCCAAAGAGTGATCGCTTCAGCCTCCCAAAGTGCTACGACTACAGGTGTGAGCCACTGCGCCCAGCCTCCCACTACCACTTCTGTCCCCAAATCCCAATCACAGGAATCAAAGCCTGGGGAAAGGTCTGACCTGGAAGAGAGGCTACACCTGACTAGGGTCTGGGTCAGATGGGGAGCTACAGGAAAGATGGGTGCACAGACCCAGGAGGGCAGGGCACAGCCAGGCGGAGGCTGGGCTGTCACGTGCCACCCCTCCCTGCACGCTGGCACCCTCACCGGCATTGAGGCTGAGGCCCCGGAACAGATGCTTCTCGTTGGGAGACACGGTGATGTCGTCCAGCACGCAGAGCTGGGCCAGGCTGTCGACAGTGAGGCCGCGGTAGTAGGGCACCAGGGCCAGCGGGTTTCCCTGCAGCACCAGCAGCCGCAGGTGCCGGAGGGTCCTCAGGCTGGCAAGCATGCTCTGCAGGTCCGTCAGGTCGTTGAAGCCCAGGTCCAGGGAGACAAGGTTGGGCCTGGAAGGTGAGCAGGACTGTCTAAGGGTCAAGAAGCCAGGTGACCAGGGGCCAGCAGCCCTACAGCCAAAACAGACGGGGGCCTGGGGCTGAGGACTCTGCCATCCGTGGGCTGCACACCCTGTCCTGTTAACTTGACCCAAGTTAACCCACACTGGGAACGAGTGCCTGCCTCTCGTCTCCTCTCTCCACAGCACTGCTGCCCTCACAGTCAGAACCACAGGGATGCCCCTCATGACTGGCCCCCACCGACCTCCCTTCACAGGGCTCCCCTCTTCTTGGCCAAACCTCACAGTAGCTCCCGTGGAGCCTCGTGCACTGCGTGCGTCAAGGAGGTTCTGCACAAATACTACGAGCAGACTGGGTGGCACAGCCGGGGACAGCCACCGTGGGGAAGCCTTGGACAGGGCAGGCATGGGGTTGACGTTTGGGGCTGGGAGGAGGGAGCCAGAGGCTGGAGGGCTGGGCGGTCTAGAAGCTGGAGATGGCATCTCAAAGCCAGACTGGGGCGGGACCCCAGGAGGCAAGGGGGCTGGGAGGGGCCTGCGGCCAGACCAAGACACAGGGCAGGGGCAGGGGCAGGGTGACTTTCCTGCTGCCACAAACTGGAAAGCAAATTGATCTCAGCTGAGAACAGACAGGAAAAACACAAGGGGTCTCGGTCAGCACAGCCTCTCCCAATCCCAGTAAGGCGCCCCGCCTTGCCCTTCCCCTAAGAGCAGAAGAGAAGGGGAGGAAGAGGAATCCAGTCAGAGAGGGAGCTTCCCTTCCCTGCAGGGGTGTGGAGGGTTGGACCCCCCAACGGCGTGCCCTCCAGGTTCCTGGGGGAAGGAGAGAGGGGAGGTGGTTCTACCCAGTCCACCCTTGCCGAGTTGTGAATGGGCACCATGGAGATGCTGCCAAGCCGCTCAAGTCCTGCACATCTCAGAGCATGCTTTGCAAAGCCTTCCCCTCCCAGCTTCCTTTCATGGCCTTTTCTGGGTGGTCTCTGGTCCCCTCCTGCCCCTCAGATCCAGGATGTTAAGGTTTCTACCGTTCGCCCACCAAGGAGACCATGGTGAATATCCACTGGGACTGGAGCCTGAACCTTTGATAGCGATGGGGCGCCTGGCGCTAGGAGGGCCTGGTGCCAGGGCAGTGGTTCTCAACATGGGGGGATTTTGCTGCTCAAGGGACATTAGGTTCTGTCTGGAGACATTTTTGCTTGTCACAACTAGCAGGGAGGTACTCCTGGCTCTGCAGGTGGACACCAGGGACACCGCTCAATATCCCGCCGTGCCCAGGGCAGCACCACAGCAAGGAATGACAGGACTCCAATGCCAACGGAGCCCAAGGTGAGAAACCCTGCTCTAACACATGGCACCAGGCTGGGTGAGGTGGCTCACACCTGTAATCCCAGGACTTTGGGAGGCCAAGGTGGGCGGATCACTTGAGGTCAGGAGTTCGAGACCAGCCTGGCCAACATGGTGAAGCCCCGTCTCTACTAAAAATACAAACATTAGCCAGGCGTGGTGGTGGTTGCCTGTAGTCCCAGTTACTTGGGAGGCTGAGGCAGGAGAACTGCTTGAACCCGGGAGGTGGAGGTTGCATAGCAGAGATCGCACCACAGCACTCCAGCGTGGGCAACAGAGTAAGTCTCCATCTCAAAAATAAATAAATAAATAGTAAAATATGGCACCAGGCCGGGCGCGGTGGCTCACGCCTGTAATCCCAGCACTTTGGGAGGCCGAGGCGGGTGGATCACGAGGTCAAGAGATGGAGACCATCCCGGTCAACATGGTGAAACCCCGTCTCTACTAAAAATACAAAAAATTAGCTGGGCATGGTGGTGCGCGCCTGTAATCCCAGCTACTCAGGAGGCTGAGGCAGGAGAATTGCCTGAACCCAGGAGGCGGAGGTTGCGGTGAGCTGAGATCGCGCCATTGCACTCCAGCCTGGGTAACAAGAGTGAAACTCCGACTCAAAAAAATAAATAAATAAATTAAATAAAATAAAATATGGCACCAAAGCAAAGGCTCTGCCTCACACCCACCACCTCTTGTTCTCCTTCCCAGGGCCTCAGTGGAATTTTGCTATTGGGTCAGAGAAATAAACCAAAGGTCTGGAGTTGGCAGCCAACTGGGAGTTACAGAAAACAGCAAAGCTGAGTTCTCAGGCCGCTGGGAAGGAGTGCCCCTAGCCTAAGACTTACTCCCTCCCTCTCTCTTTCCATCTGGGCTCCCGAGTTACCAGTGGTCAGCGGTGATGTGGAGACTTTCCGAGGGGCCTAGAAGTTTGTTGTGGCCTAATCCCAAGTGCTGCAGGCGGGGGGGTGGGTGGGCGCACAGACACTCCATGCTGCTGATCTCATTGCCATAGAGCTCCAGCACCTGGGAGACCACACAGAAGGCCGGGCCGACCGTGCAGGAGTCAGCGGTGAGGAGCAGGCCCGCCCTTCTGCCCTGAGAAACTCGGAGGAATCACAAATTACTCACACCTGGCCCCCCGGCGCCACCCGGCCTCCCTGTGAAAGACCCAGGAAGAAAAGATTCCTGCAGCAGGTCTTGGGAAGTTTCTTTTCCTTTCGTGAAAGACACGTCAACATTTGGAACGGGCGGTGGGGAAGCTGCGTAGCATCTGGCACCTTCACAACCCATGGGGATGCTTCCCTGGGAAGCACAAAAGGGCCCCTGGATGGATCCTGAATAAACCCGGCACTAACCTTCCGGGTTCGTGGGTCTTATCCACAGCCTCACCCATTTTTTTTGTTGTTGCTGTTTTTTTTTTTTTTTTTTAATTTATTTATTGTTTATTATTTGAGGTGGAGTCTTGCTCTGTCACCCAGGCTGGAGTGCAATGGCGCAATCTTGGCTCACTGCAGCCTCCGCCTCCCAGGTTCAAGCGATTCTCCAGCCTCAGCCTCCTGAGTAACTGGGATTACAGGAGCATGCCACCATGCTGGGCTAATTTTTGTATTTTTGTAGAGATGAGTTTCCCTATGTTGCCCAGGCTGGTCTGGAACTCCTGAGAACAGGCAGTCTGCCCACCTCGGCCTCCCAAAGCGCTGGGATTATAGGCCTACTTCATTGCTTTCTATGAGTGAATAGCATTCTATTGTACGGAGAGATGACTTTTTTTTCTTGAGACAGAGTCTCACTCTGCCACCAGGCTGGAGTGCAGTGGCACGATCTCGGCTCACTGCAACTCTTGCCTCCCAGGTTCAAGCGATTCTCCTGTCTCAGCCTCCCAGGTAGGTGGGATTACAGGCATGCGACACCACACCCAGCTAAGTTTTGAATAGTAGAGATGGGATTTTGCCATGTTGGCCAGGCTGGTCTCAAACTCCCGACCTCAGGTGATCCGCCCTCCTCGGCCTCCCAAAGTGCTGGGATTACTGGCATGAGTCGCCACGCCCGGCCTGACCACATTTGTTTGTTTATCCATTCATCTGTTTTTAGACACTTGAGTTGAGCCCACCCTTCCGCTATGGTGAGGAGCACAGCTCTGAACTCTGGAAGACGAGACTCTGGCTACGTCCCTGTCTTCAGTTCCTTCATGGATACACCTAGGAATTGAAGCGCTGGGTCTTGCAGTAATTCTATGACGAACTTTTTGAGGAAAGTGACCTCCATTTTAAAAGCCTGGAGCTGGGTCCTAGCCTCCACCCACGCTGGCCACACCTATGCCGGGCAGGGTAGGGCAAGACCTCTGGGCAGTGCTGGCCCAAAGACTCGGCACGGACCAAGTTCCTTCACCTTAAGTGTGGGGGGCAGATTGGCAGCTTCCACCTCCTTGATTCGATTGGCGCTCAGTACCAATTCCTCCAGCTTTAGAAATTTCAGGAGGTCTTTATCCACCAGGGTCACCTGGAAGAGGGGAGAAGCCGAGGGCTGTGGTGGGTGAGGGAGCACAGAGCCCCCGCCCACAGTAGAAAGACAGTGGCTCCTTCATCAGAGTTGCCTGCCCTGCATTCCCACCCGCTGCTTCCCCGGAGGCTGTTCCCACACTGCATGGTTCTGCCAGGATCCAAGAGCCCCTCCCAGCCTCTATCCTTCCTCTGACTGTAGGTGGTGCATGATTTCCAGGCCAATGACCTGTGTCCTTTGTCGGACCATCAGCTGCCCACGAGGGCAGGAACCTGTCTTCTTTCTGTCTACCCCAGAGCTACAAGGAACTCTGGGCACTGAAGTCAGTCAAGGTCTTCAGGAGTCACCCAGAGCAGGGTCTGACCAGAAGCTGCAGTGACTCATCCATGACTTCTCAGTTCCCTGTGGCCTCAAAGACACCAGGGGCCCTTCCCAGCCAGACCTTCCTCCTCCAGGGTCACCAATGTGCCAGTCTGCCCAGGACAGAAGTTTGTTCCCAGGACGCGAAACTTTATGCACGGACACTGGAAGTCCCTGGCAAACGGCTACCAGTCAGTCACCTACTTGTCCCCTATTGCTGTGTCGCTTCCTAGTGGCTCTGGAAAAAGAAAGCCAAGGCTTCAGAAGGCTGAGGCCAAGTTTCCAGGCAATTTTTGGGCTGGCTTGCTGGATTTATTTATTTATTGAGACAGAGTCTCACGCTTGCTTGAGACACGATCTCATTCTGTCACCCAGGCTGGAGTGCAATGGTGCAATCATGATCACTGCAGCCTCTACCTCCCCAGCTCAAGTGATCCTTCTGCCTCAGCATCTGAGTAGCTGGGGCTACAGGCATGCACCACCATACCTGGCTACATTTAAAATTTTTTTTTTTTTTTTTTTTTTGAGACAGAGTCTTGATTTTTCGCCAGGCGCCAGGCTGAAGTGCAGTGGCCGAATCTTGGTTCACTGCAATCTTCACCACCTGGGTTCAAGCAATTCTCCTGCCTCAGCCTCCCGAGTAGCTGGGACTACAGGCACGCGCCACCATGCCCAGCTAATTTTTGCATTTTTTAGTAGAGACGGGATTTCACCATGTTGGCCAGGATGGTCTTGATCTCTTGACCTCATGATCTGCCCGCCTTGGCCTCCCAAAGTGCTGGGATTACAGGCGTGAGCTGCCGTGCCTGGCCTACATTTTAAAATTTTATAGAGTCGGGGTCCCACTATGTTGCCCAGGCTGGTCTCTAACACCTAGACTCAAAGGAACCTCCTGCCTCAGCCTCCCAAAGTGCTGCGATTATTAGCACCAGGGAGCCACCTCTCCCAGCCTGGGCTCTGCTACCGATGTAGACAAAGGTGGCTTTTTGGTGACAGAAATTAAAATAGTTAGAACTACACCAACCCTCCCCTCCCCTGACCCCCATGGTTTAGAGGAAGTAAAACTAAAACAGACCCTTTGAAAAACCAGTTCTGCAGCTGGGTCCACTGCAGAACTCAGCTATGGAAGATGGTGGTCAAGGGTGAAGGAAGAAGAGACACAAGGCTGACGGAGCAGCCGGCTGGGCCTGACACACAAGCCAGGGAGATGAAGCAGACGGAGGGCAGGCTGGCCTTGGCTCCAGCCCCCAGAGGAGGACCCCAGAGGCGCTGTGGGAAGGATGCCCTCCCCCCAACCTCCCTTAGGGGAGCGGCCACCCCAACATCACCACCCCCCCACGCCCGGCACTCACCTCCTTGTCCACCATCCGCAGGGACCGGAAATAGGAGTAGAAGAAGGCGTCTCGGATCATCAGTGGGTTCCGGATGGCCAGTTCTCTCAGGAAACTGTCTTCCGAGTTGGAGTCATTCAGCAGAGCCCAGGGGGATTGGGGGCTGCGGACCAGGCCCAGCAGGGCCTCCACCGTCTCCTCCCCGGGGCTCACCACGTCCTCCTCTCTGGGGACCAGCTCCCTCCATGTTCGCCAAGTTTGAGGAAGAAATCTCGACTTATTCTGCAGTGGCAGAGAGGGGATTTCTCCAGGTGTGACACAGCCCCCTATGGATGCCAGACTCTCAAAACGGAACAGATCGTAAAACTGGAAGATTGGGGATAAAGAGTTTAGCAGTCTAGACAGTAATCAATAATTCTGATGGATTATTAGCCACGGATATAACCATAGATGAGGGGACATACAAAATAAGTAAAACGTCCCATTCCTTTGAGAGGCTGAAGCTGGAGGATCACTTGAGGTCAGGAGTTTGAGACCAGCCTGGGCAACATGGAGAAACCCTGTCTCTACTAAAAATACAAAAATTAGCCGGGCGTGGTGACACAGGCCTGAAATGCCAGCTACTGGGGAGGCTGAGGCAGGAGAATTGCCTGAACCAGGAGGCGAAGGTTGCAGTGAGCTGAGATCACGCCACTGCACTCCAGCCTGGGCAAGAGGTCTTCCTGGGGCCACACCTGGGCTGCCCTCGTGGTTGAAGCCACGGGAGGGAAGGGTCTAGGACTCTGGAGACGGGATGGGGGGGTGACCCCTTCTCCTGGACCCCAGGTCACAGGCTGCAGGCTCAGAGCGACCTCTCACGCGGCCTTGAGATCTCGTTACATGCTCGGAGGCTGGGAAAAGTTGCAGAACTCTTTGACCAAAACAAAAGGTTTTCACCCCAAAAGGAGCCTGCCCACTGGAAATCTGGGGTGTTGGCGTCTTCAAGTCAGGGAGAAGCCCCGGCCCAGGTCAGCTGATGTGCTCAGGACGGGCCCTGCGCTCCCCCAGGCAGTACCCACAGCCCGGGCCTCGCCGTCACCCCCGAGCCCTACCCGCCCCCACGTCGGCGGCCCCCAAAATGCGCAGATCCCAGGCCCCAGCCCCTCGGCCCACCCCGCTCGCCCGGGCACGTCCCTCCTGCAGCCGCTCCAGGCCCCCAGAGCCCCGGCCCCGGCGCCCGCACCCAGCTGCCCGCGCCGCACGGGAACTCGCGCAGACACAGCTTCCGCAGGTGCTCGCGCACGGCCGCGCTCACGGTCCCCGTCCCGGGCCGCTGGGTCCCAGGCCCGGCCTCAGACTCGGACTCCGAGGACGCCTCCATGGCCGCGGGGCTGCGTTGCCCGGCAACCTCCAGGACGCGTGCGCGAGGCCCGGGGCCTCTCCAGGTGCGCGCACCTGCCGCGAGGAAAAGGCCCCCACCCGGATCACAGACGGCTCGGCCCCAACCACCTGGGTTTTCTCTTCTGCCCTCATCTGTAAAATGGGATCACAGCTGGTGGTTGCCGGTGTGGCAGCTCCCGCAGGCAGTGAGCGCCATAGCTGACCTGTTTCTTAACTCATCTCAAGCACTCCCCACCAAAAGTCATCCTATACCCATCTGACAGATCGAGAAAAGAGAAGAAACCCCAAGGTCAAACATCTCCAGCCAGCCAGTGGGTGCCAGGGTGGGTCTCTAAGCCTGCAGCCGGGGGTTTTATCACTGTCCACCTGTATAACTGTTTAAGCACTCAGACCTCATTTTATTTTTTATTTATTTTATTTTATTCAGATGGAGTCTTACTCTGTTGTCCAGGCTGGAGTGCAGGGGCCCAGTCTCGACTCACTGCAACCTCTGTCTCCCAGGTTGAAGTGATTCTCCTGCCTCAGCATCCCGAGTAGCTGGGATCACAGGTGCATGATCACTTCCGGCTAATTTTTTGTATTTTAGTAGAGATGGAGTTTCACCACGTTGCCCAGGTTGGTCTCAAACTCCTGAGGTCAGGCAACCCACACTGTGCCCATGAAACCCCTTCTGTAAGGACATTAATCCCATTCATGAGGAGCCCCCATACTGAATCACTTCTCAAAGGACCCCACCTCTTGATACTATCACACTGGGCATCAGGTTCTGACAACTGAATTTTGGAGGTTCTGGGTCTGTCCCGCAGACTCTGGCCGGCTGATGAAATGAGTACTCAGACACAGGGTATGCAGTGTAAGGGCAGCAAGGGGACTGCCTGGCTCTAGTGGCCAGAGAGGCAGCTGCAGATGCTGGAGCTGCTCGCTTTCATCCAGTGCAGCTACAGTGCCCAATGCCTGGAGCAAACACAATCTGTAAGTAATTAACACTTATTGTTCCCGTTTCAGGGAACTTCACCAGTAGATGTTCAAAGGTCAGTTCCTGGACAACTTCAAACAGACAAGCCTGATCAGATAACTTCCCCCTTCACTCCTCGCCCTCTGCCTCAGGGCTAGATAACAGCTGCCTTCAGCTATTCCCCCCCAGGGCTCTGCAAAACCTTTGACTTTTCAGTAGGTTTGCGTCCTTTTCCTACAGTTTTTCCCACCACTCTGGCCGCTCTGACCCATCCCCGACATGGAAGAACACATCAACATCTCTCATTCTTTTTAACTAAACGGTATCAGGACAACTTTACTGTTATTAGAAAAATTATCCAAAACTGGGATTTAAGCAAAAAGATGACCATATCTTCTTTCAAAGAAGAAAATATCGTTTTTTTTGGTTGGGGGACAGGTCTCACTTTGTCATCCAGGCTACAGTGCAGTGGCGTGATCATAGCAGCTCACTGAAGCCTGGACCTCCTAAGCTAAAGTGGTCCTTCCACCTCAGCCTCCTGAGTAGCTGGGACTACAGGCACGCATCACCATGCCTGGCTGAGGTTTTCGTATTTTTTAGTAGAGATGGGGTTTCACCATGTTGCCCAGGCTGGTCCCGAACTCCTGACTTCAAGTGATCCACTCACCTCGGCCTCCCAAAGTGCTGGGATCATAGGCATGAGACACCCTGCCTAGCCCTCAAAGAATAAAATCAATATCTATGAGTCCATACTGATATAAATAAGTCAAGGAGATGAACCACAGATGGGGCTCCTGGGATTTTGATGGAGCAACAGGTGGACGATGTGCAGCGAAGGAAGACAAGACTCAGGAGAAATCACACATTCTGTCTGAAACAAGTTAAGGTCCAGATGCCAATGGGTGTCTGTCAAATCAGCCATTGGTTAGGAAGCTCAGGGATGAGGTCAGGTCTGGGTGGTACATAGAACCCAAGGTGCACAGAAGGGTCCCCCCAGGAAGCCCTTCCACCCTTCATCCCAAGTCCCCCTACAGCCACCCCTGTCTCTTTTTCTCTTCCTTCTCATCCATGCTTCCTGACACAGTGGTCTAGGCTCCCTTTTTTTCCCTTATTTATTTTTTGAGACGGAGTCTTGCTGTGTCGCTGGACTGGAGTGCAATGGCACAATCTCGGCCCTCTGCAGCCTCCGCCTCCCAGGTTCAAGCCTCCCGAGTAGCTGAAATTACAGGTGCTCACCACCTTGCCTGGCTAATTTTTGCATTTTTAGTAGAGATGGGGCTTTATCATGTTGGCCAAGATGGTCTCAAACTCCTGTCCTCAAGTGATCTGCCTGCCTTGGCCTCCCAAAGTGCTGGGATTACAAGCGTGAGCCACCACAGCCGGCCTATGCTCACTTTTTCCTTACTTCCCAAACCACCACAATATACCAAACCAAAAGCGTATTCAAACTCTCCTAGCACAGTTCCTGTGACCTCATGTTGCCCAATCTAGTGAATCTCTGCAGCCTTTATCTTATTTCACCTCTTCATGGCTTTTGATGATGTCAACCATTTCCTCCTTCTTGAAAGTTACTTTTCATCTTATTCCATGACAACATGTATTTCTGGTGCTTTTCTTTTTCTCGCTGTCATTTTTTTTGAGACAGTGTCTTGCTCTGTCACCAGGCTGGAGTGCAGCGGCGCGATCTTGGCTCTCTGCAGCCTCCACCTCCCGGGTTCAAGTGATTCTCCTGCCTCAGCCTCCTGAGTAACTGGAACTACAGGCACCCACCACCACACACAACTAGTTTTTGTATTTTTAGTGGAGACGGGGTTTCACCCTGTTGGCCAGGCTGTTCTCAATCTCTTGACCTCGGGATCTGCTCACCTCGGCCTCCCAAAGGGCGGGGATTACAGGCGTGAGCCACCACACCTGGCCTTCTTTTTCTCATGAGAGCACCTTCTACATGTTCTAGACTAAATTATCATTTTCTCCTTGTCCCGTGAATGAAGGCATGTCCCAGGGCTCCACACTTGACTCCCATACCTCACACTGCTCATCTCTTACCGGCTTACAGTTTTATCTGCCACAATACCTTGATGGCACCCACATTTATGTTGGTAGTTCCTTCCTTCACGCTCAGGTCCACACGTCCAATGGCCTGCTGTGTGTCTTCAGCTGAGCGTTCCGTAACATTCTCATTCACTGTGTCAAAAGCTGAATCAGGCTGGCCGTGTGGCTCGCACCTGGGAGGCCAAATCCCAGCACTTTGGGAGGCCGAGGCAGGCTAATCTCTTGAGCTCTGGAGTTGAAGACCAGCTTGGCCAACATGGCGAAACCCTGTCTCTACCAAAAATACAAAAATTAGCCATGCGTGGTGGCGGGCATCTGTAATCCCAGATACTCCGGAGGCTGAGGCAGGAGAACCCCTTGAACCCAGGAGGTGGAGGTTGCAGTGAGTTGAGATTGGGCCACTTTACTCCAGCCTGAATGAGAGTGAGACTCAGTATCAAAAACAAACAAACAAAACTGAATTAGGCTGGGTGTGTGGTTCACACCTGCAGCCCCAGCACTTTGGAAAGCCAAGGTGGGTGGATTGCTTGAGCCCAATTCAAGACCAGCCTGGGCAACATAGCAGAATTTTTTTTTTTTTTTTTTTTTGAGATGGAGTCTTGCTCTTGTTACCCAGGCTGGAGTGCAATGGCACGATCTCAGCTCACCGCAACCTCCGCCTCCTGGGTTCAGGCA